TAAAGACCAAGACATACGTGAACCAAATTGGAAATCAGGCACAATATAGGGGTTAACCATAAAAGAATTGAGATGATTTACTTAGGGAAGCAAACTTACGGAATATAAACCCACAGATCTCTTATTTGAAATATGGTGGCCTTTACTTTTTGACTGTTACTATAAAGAGGTACTATGATGTGCCAAGGGTTTAGCCAAGTATTTCATCTAACTCTCATAAACCTGAAAACCAGGTTATATTGGCAACTGAGACTCCAGTGGTTTAAGGATCTGCCCTCAAATATTGCTACTACATCCCACCCAAAATTCAACTTCTTCCCACAAGGGAATGTTTCCTGACTTACAGGTTTGGCTTGGCTTACACTAGAAGGGATGACTAGTTTGGTCTATGTCACAAAGGACAGCCTTACATGCACTCCACTGTTAAATAAGAGAGAGACCTCATGTAGAAAAAAGACCAAGCTGGTCTTCAGGAAGCTAGAGACGGACTAGAAAGTGTCCTTCTCTCTCTCTCTCTCTCTCTCTCTCTCTCTCTCTCTCTCTCTCTCCCCACCATCCATCTACCCACCCCAATCTCCTCTCCCTCTGTTTTTCCATGTATTCATGCACATGTATATGTGACTTTTCTGTGGTGACTTTTTCTGTTTCTGAGAATTCATTTATTCATTCATTCATTTCTTCAACAAGTATTCACTGAGCAATATGGGACAAGAAAATCAAGGGTAACCTTGACAGGTCATTTCAACAGTATTGAAAAGATAAAATCCTTATTGGCGAGGGTCAAGAAAATGGAAAAAGAAGACATATTAGGGGTGATGACTGTGGAAAACTCTTGGAAGGTGTTTTGCTCTATATAAACCAGAGGGGTAGGGGTAGGGAGAACCCTAGTGCCCCATTAGGGGGTAGGGAAGTGGAAGGGATGGGATGTAGTACAGAATAGAAGGTTTAACCTCAGATTCTATGCTGGAAGCTCATTGCCCGGAACAGGAGGGAGACAGAATATGGCTACCAATTCTAGCTGGAGGATAGATACAACTGTGGTAGTATATGTGTCTTAGCTTTGGTGGCTATAATAAATACCTTGGTAGGGTGGGACTTAAATAACAGATATCTGTTTTCTCATAGTTGTGGAGGCTGGGAAGTATAAGATCAAGGTACGGGTAGATTTGCTTCTTGGTGAAGCTTCTCTTCCTCATTTGTAGATGCTGCCTTCTTGCTGTGTTCATATGACTTTTCCTTGGTGGAGAGAGACAGATGAGAGATCTTGTGTCTCTTTTTCTTTTATTACAGGCACAAGTCCCATCCTGAGGGACCCATCCTCACAACCTCATCTAACCTTAACTGCCTTTTAAAGGACCCAGTTTCCAATACCATCACATTGGTCACTAGGTGTTCAATATAGAATTTTTCTGGGGGCAGGGGGTACCACAAACTTTCAGTCCATCTTGGAAATTATTGTTAGGTGTTCCTGTGTTCTTACAGAATAAGAACTCTCAGATGAGAGTGAGAATGTGGAAGAAATTTTTGGAAAGATGGATATAGTGGACAGTGAGAGTAAACAGACGGGAGACATTTGGTGTGAGTGCTGAGCAGAACTAAGGACCCATGGTGAGAACGATTAAAGGGGAAAACAGACGGTGTGGTTGTGAATATTTCTCCAGTCATGTGTACACTGATGCAGACACCAAGAAGAAGGAGAATTGTAATGAACAGCTTCTACTTAGCAAAGCAAATGCAATGAGGCAAGAAAGGGGCAAGAGAATCCAGGGAGCATTTGAGGAAGTCACTATAATAATGGAATTTTTTCTGGGTGGGGAGGACACAAGGTTAATGAGGGGTCATGAAAAGTAGTTTAGCCCAAGAAGTTGAAGAATTATGTGAGTTAGGGTCCCTGAGGGAGTAAACTGGAAAGATGGGAAAAGGTGATTAGAGAGGGTGAGAGGGTGACAATAGGAAATGATGTGGTCAAGGTCAAGAGTGATGACTGTTGTAGAGTGGAGGACAAGGTCATTGGAGCAGAGGTCAAAGAACTGATCTGTCAGGAATGGGAAGTAGTATTTCCATGAATAGTGAAATCACCAAAAGAAATCGTTAGGAGAGTGCCCCCGAACTTGGAGGTCAAGTTTCAAGGAAAGGAACTTTCCTACACTGCTGGTGGGAGTGCAAACTGGTCCAACCACCATAGAAAGTTGTGTGGAGTTTCCTCAAACTACTAAAAATGGAGCTACCATATGACTCAGCAATTCCACTCCTAGAAATCTACCCAGAGGACACAAAAACATTCATTCAAAAAGATACGTGCATTAATTGAATAACTATAAGAAAGTGAAAATCAGAATCAACAAAAAACTATGAAACAGAGACACTTTTGGCTGGGTGGGGGGCGGAGGGGAGGGATTGGGATCAGAAAGGGGGGGTTGCAACTGTATGGGGAATATAAAAATAAAATTTATTATTAAAAAAAGGAAAAAAAAGATACGTGCATTATTTATAATAGGTAAGATACGGTAAAAACCCAAATGCCCCATGGGATCAAGAAGATGTAATTCAAAAAATATAAACTTATGCCATTTGCAGCAACATGCATGGAATCAGAAGGGATCATTCTCAGTGAAATATGCCAGAAGGAAAAAGAAAAATATTGGATGGCTTCACTTATAGAAGCAATATAGGGGAACCAAATAAGGGATCAGGAAATAAAATAACAACAACAACAACAATAATAAAAAACCAACAAAATTAGCAGACAACCATAAATCAGAGACATTCTGTAAGGGATGGAAGGAAAATGGATCAAAACAGGGAGAGAATGTTGTGACAGGAGCTTTGTGGCCGCTTTGTGTTGGGAACACGATGAGGGACACAGCAGTCATGAAGCAGGTTGGAAGGCAAGACTCTGCTACTTGAGCAGAAGTTCTTGTGCCATTTATTGAAAGCACACAGGCTAGTAAAAGCTGGTCATGTGACAGTGGTATGAGGAATAAAGTCCAGAGGGTGGGATAGGACTGGCAAAGTTTTACGAGGGACAAGGAAGGGGATGTCACGACCATATGTCAAGAGGCATTTGCGTAAGCAAAGTATTTGATGTTATCACAGGCAGAGTTATCCCGAGACCCCCATGGAGATAGTCACATAATCAGATCAAGGGCAGCCTAGGCGTCTCCAGGCCTGCCTTGTGATATGAGCTATACTCTGAAGGGAGTCAAGGAATGCTCTGCTGAGATTTGTAGATAGCAAATAGGTCACAGTTGCCATGAGTGGCCATAGGAACCCACAAGAGAAGAGCACAACAGACTATGGTGGTGGTTCACGGGTGAATTTTATGGTGGGATACACAATGATGTAAAAGATGTAAATAAAAGGGCCTCTCTGGTGTCGCAGGCGGTTGAGCGCCGTGCTGTGAAGCTGTCTGCAGCCTCTGTAGTGCTGGTTTGATCCTGGCTGGCAGGCAAGAATCCCACATGGCATGGCAGAACTTTCCTGACTCCCCCGCTGCTCCCCTCAGCAGTGTATTTCGTCAGTCTGCCTGTTCTGTTCCCCGCTCTGTCTCTGGTGAATTCTCTCACCCTCCCACTCATCTGGCCTGTACCCCAGTTCTTGTATAAATAAAATCTTTTAAAAAAAATATAAAAAATAAATTAATAAATTATGCAATGTAAAAAAAAGAAGGGGATAAGCCAGAAATTTGCAATGGTTATAATAAGGAGGTGACATGAGTACAATATTCTGATGGTTTGATGGGGATTTTTAGGGTGATACTGTGGTTTGGAAGGGATGTAAGAAGCAAGGAAATCAACACTATCCTTCCCAGTCCAGCGATACACGGAGTGTTGGAGAGAACCACAACCACTTAAGAGGATTTTGGAGGAAGGAAGGGCTCCAGAGGAGAACCAGGCTTCTTTTAGGAACAGTGGTTCCCAAAGTAAGGTTTGGGAACCCCGCAAAATTTCTGAGCTCCTGTCAGAGACTCACAAGTCCAAGATTGTTTCCTAGGAACACTAAGATATTACTTGTCTTTTTGCTCTCATTCTCTCATGAATGTACAGTGGAATTTTTCAGAAACTATGTGAGTTGTGATAAGACGACAGATTGAAGGGAGAAGGGAGCAGCACAGTCCAGGTGTCTTTCACTAAGCCCAAGTTAAAGAGATTTGCAGAAATGTGAAACAGAACAATTCTTCCCATGACTTAAAAAAAATCTATTTTTCATAAAATATGTGATGATTTTGTTATTTTCAAGATAATAAGTCAATTTTAATGTTTCATTTTCAATCCAGTAAATGTTGGTAGATGTAACATCCACACACAAAAACTCTCTGGGGTTCCTGATGATTTTCAAGTGTCCTGAAACCTTGAATGTTGGAGAACTATTGAGTTAGGTCATAAAGGCCAATTGAATGTTCAGGAAAGAAGTTGAGGACACAGGGTATTCTGTTCTTGAGGGACTAGGGATTCCAAAGTACATGACAGAAGGTTTGGGGGGAAGGACCAGGAAATAGATCAGCAATGAGATTGTAAAAGGCCTCCTGGTGATGACAGTCTGGAGGATTAAGGGTAATCTTGAGCTCTGCATGCTCATGAGGAACCCAGATTGTGTTGTGCGTGTAACCAGGAAGTCAAGACCAGAGGGAACCACTTCTTCCTGGGGAAGGCAAGAAGCCCCTTCATTTCAATTTTTTTAAAGATTTATTTATTTATGCATACAAGAGCTGGGGTACAGACCAGAAATGCAGGGGGATGAGAGGACCCACCAGAGAAAGAGAAGGGAACAGAACAGGCAGATTGACTGATATACACTGCTGAGGGGAGCAGCGGGCGAGACAGGAGAGGTCTGCTGCGCCATGTGGGTAGCTCCCTGCCCGGGGATTGAACTCGTGCTGCAGTGGCTGAGGATAGCTGCATAGTGCTGTACTTAACACCTTGTGCCACCAGGGAAGCCCTCCCCTTTGCCTTTCAATTTTTAAAACGTCTCACTGGCACTCTTCTCCTGCCCACTCCCAGGCCCAGTCATCTGTTACAACTCACAGGATGATCTGCCACCCCATCCTGCAGAATCTGAGGTATGTGACGGTTCCCAGAATGTGTGGTCTGATCAGGCATTCCCAAATGCCTGTGAGAATGATGGAGAAAAATGAAAGTTGTTTTTTGGAGCAACTTGGAAATTTAATTTGGAGTGTTTTTTCATTTAGACCTGCTTTAAGGTGTAGAGATGGATTGAATGTATGCTATCTTAAATTGTGACATAAAAATTAGGATACAGAGTTTGCCATCTACATCTGCCATCACCTCTGGAGGTAACAGGCCTTCTGTTCTGAAACAAATTGAGCAATACAATGTCACCGTCCTTGAATGTGGCACTGGTGAGTAGGTTGATGTTTGTAACCAGATTCTTACATCAATGGAGGAGAAAGTTTAGAAGGATCTGCACCAATGGTTGGTTGGTGGAAGAGGTAGGCCAAAGAAGCTTTAGGTCAGGTCTGCCGTCTTGCACAGCTGCAGGGGACACCACTCACCCTGCCATCCAAACGACTGGTGTTCCTTGCAGTTGGACAATGCAGAGCCCTAGTATGAGAAGTTTCCTGTGTGTGTCAGTATCTTACTTCTATATTATTATCTTACTTCTATTTCATCATGACCTCAATATGTCTATGTGTTACATTTAAAAATGTGCTTGGGGCCTCCCTGGTGGCACAGGGATTAAAGATAACAGTATCAAGCTATTGCCAGCCACTGTGGCATGAGTTCGATCCCTGGCCAGCCAGGGAGCTACCCACATGACACAGCAGACCTCTCCTGTCTTGCCTGCTGCTCCCCTCAGCAGTGTATCTCAGTCAATCTGCCTGTTCTGCTCCCCACTCTGTCTCTGGTGAATCTTCTTACCACCCCCACCCCCACACCTCTGGCTCACACCCTGGTTCTTGTATGCATAAATAAATAAATCTTTAAAAAAAAAATGCACTTCACAAACCCTTGAAATCTGACTGCAGAACAGCAGCTACCAGAAGGGGAGGATGAGGGTGAGAGCAAAGGGGATGAAGATTGGTGGGGCTTTATGCTGGGCCTTTACATTTGTAGAAATGTAAATCTAGGGCCTCCCCGGTGGCGCAGCGGTTGAGTGCTGGGTTACGAAGCTGCGCTCAGCCTCTGCAGCGCCGGTTCGATTCCCGGCTGCTCCCCGGCCACCTGAGGAGGGTCCCACATGGTGCGCAGACCTCTCCTGCCGCCCGCTGCTCCCCTCAGCAGTGTACTTTGGTCCTTCTGCCTGCTCTGCTCCCCGCTCTGGCTCTGGTGAATTCTCTCACCCTCCCGCGCTTCTGACTGTACCCAGTGCTTGTATAAACAAAACAAACAAACAACAAAAAAAAAAAGAAATGTAAATCTATACCCCCAAAACATATACAGTGTTGTAATCAACATTACCTCAATATACTTATTTTCATTTTTTTAAATATAATTCATTTATATATATTTTTCATCATTGTTCATTTTTGTACAATGTTTGCTTTTTCCTCTCAGGTATACTCAATATACTTAATTTAAAAAATAAATAAAAATGTGCTTCAAGGTGCCACATTTTGAGAACTTGCTCAATGAGAGCATTTGTTTTTCTTTTCCATCACCGCCCCCCAAATTGTGAGTAGGAATGTGAGTAGGAATGTAAATCAATTTCCTCTACTGGGTAATTCACACCAGCCTTCAAAACATGGCTTACTATTTATTATCCATTTTATTTATTTATTTTTCTTTTCTTCTTTAAACAATATTTGCTAACCCCCACCCCCTCAGGTGTAGTCCCCATAGAATTTCCTTTCCCAATGCACACGTGCACCATCACCTCAGTCCCCTGTGCTCCTCCCTGCCTCCCCCTGACCCCTCTCCCTCCTCCTCCCCTGCAGGATGTCTCTGCTTTATAATTGTCTGTTTTTGCTTTATTGTGTTTTGCACTGTTATTATTTTTTGTTACACTGATGTCTTATTTGGTTCCCCTATATTCCTGCTATAAGTGAAACCATCCAATATTTTTCTTTTTCCTTCTGGCTTATTTCACTGAGAATAATTCCTTCTTTACCCATTTTAAAATCAGTCAAACAAGGGCCTCCTTGATGGCACAAGGGGTTAAGCACCACACTATAAAGCAATCCGCAGCCTCTGCAGCAGGAGTTCTATCCCTGGCCAGCCAGAGAGGTAACCCATAAGGTGCAGCAGACCTCTCCTGACTCACCCACTGCTCTCCTCAGCAGTGTACTTCTGTCAATCTGCCTGTTCTGTTTCCCACTCTGTCTCTGGTGAATCCTCTTACCCCCCCCCATCTCTGATCTGTGCCCCAGTTCTTGTATGCATAAATAAATAAATCAAACAATCGAGTTGACATATTTTCTATTGGTTCTGTCCTGCCCCCACGTACAGCTTCACTTTTCTTCAACTCTTTGAAAGAGTTTTCAGTGTTTTCAACCAAAAAGAAAGTATTCATTTTCTTCAACCTGCTTCCTTTCCTCAGTTTACTCTGTTGGAATTTACTTCCACATCATCCCAATTAAAAAACCCTTATCAGGGTCACCAATGTCCTACATTTTGTCCCCCCAAAAGCTAATTATCTGTTCTCATTTACCTTGACCTTTTGACAGCATTGAACATACTTGACCATTCCTTCTTTCTTGGAAAACCTTCTTTTCTAGGTTAGAACATTCCAGTCCCTGGATTTCCCTATCTCACTAGCAACTCATTTCATTTTATTTCTCCACTGGTTCCTCTTCTTATACCAGACTCCTGTCTATTTTGCTTGGCTTCTCTATCCATTGCTTACTCTCCAAGACATCACCCCTACATGAAGGCCTTTTGGTTTTTTCGGTTTTTTGAATACCCTCTATATATGCTCAAATGTCTCTCTCTAGACCTCAGTGCCATCTCATATACTCAAATGTCTTTTAACACCTGTACTTGACACTCAATTAGGCATTTCAAAGATAACATGGCTTAAGTAGTACTACTGATTGTCCTCCAAACTTCTCTCCATCCTGTGTCTTTCCTATCTCAGTAAATGGCACCGCTATCCTGCCCTGCCTGTTGCTCAAAAATACCAAAGCATCATCCGTGATGCCTATATTTTCCTCACACACACCCCCCATCAGAGTGTCCCACCATCTCTACTTCCATGTCTTATAGTCATTGTTGCTCCAAACATAATCCAGCCACGATCATCTCTTTCTTGGTCTACTGTAACCACCTCCTTAAAGAGGCTGCAGTACTTCATCTTAGCCTTTTCCAAGTCCACCCACCGCACATCAGTCAGGGATTGTTCCAATGCAGAAGTCAGGTCACATGACTTCCTTCTTAAAACCCTCCAATGACTTCCCATTGTGATCAAACCCTTCCCATGCCCCACAAGGCGTCTATGACCCGACCACCATCTGTTTCTGGAACCTCATCTTGTTGCCTCTCTCTACGCCTTTGCGTATGTGTCAATCTTACTGACTTCCTTTTTTATCCCTCCAAATTTACTAGCTGACTCAAGGCCTCTGTTCTGGTCATTTCTCCTGTTTAGAATGTTCTCTTCCCATAGATGCCTCTCTTCACTATTGAAATCTCAACTCCAAATCTCAACTCTGAAAAACCATCCCTGATGCCCTAGCACAGATCAGTACTTAAACTTATCTCCTTTACGTGTTTATGTCCATGTTTATGGGATGTCTTCTGCACCTTGATGGTAGAAGCCCTGTCTGTCTCATTCAATGTTGCATCCCCAGTACCAGACGCCAGTAAAGGACCAGTTAATATGTGTCTATCAACTGACTGACTTGGAATTATGGGAAGGAATAATTGAACTCTGTGTTATCCAGAGAAAAATTCATTTGGGATTGCAAAAATTCTTTTTACTCTTAAGATTTGCTTATTCTCAAGCCAGAAAGAGAAAGAAAAATACCGGATGGTCTCACTCATAGCAGGAATCTAGAAAACTTAAATAAGGGACCAGGAAAATGAATAACTATAAGAAAGTGAAAATCAAAATCAACAAACAACTATGAACCAGAGACACTCTATGGGGGGTGGGGGGCAGGGAGGGGAGGGATTGGGGTCAAAATAAGGGGGTTGCAATTGTATGGGGAATATAAAAATAAAATTTATTTAAAAAAAAGATTTGCTTATTCTCAAAACACATTCAGATTTAATTAAATACCAGCCCCTTTAGATTAAGGGCAGCCACTTCCCAAAACCAAAAGAGGAAAAAGTAAAAACCAACAAATCACTAACACTCTATTGTTATAAAACAAAATGGATGAAACCAATTTTTTGTATTATCCAATCCAAAATTTTCCAAGTTTCTCAATTCTTCTTGTGTGGAAGTTGAAAAGAGGGAAGGAGGGCAAGCTTTTTTCCACTTGTGTGTGAAGTCTTCCTGCTGTACCAAAGGTCATTCACTTTATACCCTGGTGTTAGATCAGATGCTGAGCTTATTTCTGAAATGGTCTCGTTTTATGGATGGTGAAGTGCTCTGGATATATATTGAGTGTTTACGCAACTTCTGTATCTAGATTGGTATTCCTCATAAGTAACTACATTAACCTGTTTTATGACTGAAGCTCTGAGGACCTGGGAAACTGTTACAGTGCTGTATGGAGACAAGGATCACGGGTGAAGGGGCTCTCTGTGCTTCTCATAGCTCTGTTAGCTCTGTTACCAGGTGTTAGCAAAGGGTCTTGGATTTTCAGAGCCTCCAATTTCCCAACTATAAGAAGGAGAAAACTTACAGAAGGATATGACACTTTTTTCACTGGAGTACATTTACTCCATAGAATAAGACATCAAGGTACCTGTACTGAATTGGAGATCCCTTCTTGAACAAATAAATTCAGCAGACATTTATTTTATACCGAATGTACACCAGATCCTTAAGGCATTAAATGCCATGATTTTATGAATTAAAGTAATTACAACTGTTATTCAGAGAGGGAAGTAGTTGATCAGATCAAGAAGGGAGTATAGTGCAATGAATAGGATGAGAACTCCCTACACTGTCCTTTCTCGTCCATGTATAACTTTGGACAGGTTACCTAACCTTCTT